TATTTCAGCTTAATAATGAAATCCCAAGATTTTAAACATTATTGAGCATGATGAGGAAGCATCACAGAAGAATTTATCTCAAAACAATATTTTTAGATTAGACCATATATGCAATATTCATAGATATACAAAATATATAGAAATGTCTTTTCTAAATAGTTAATAAATGCTTGTTATAGTTTGTAAAAAGTTTACTAAATTAATTGGGTTTTTTTTTTCAACCAATGTAAACAAATTTGGGCAATGAAAATTGAGGAGGGTTTTGGTTAGATGATATGTGGGGAAAATGAAAGGAAGTTGGTTAAAAGTTTAGGTTAGCTATATTTCCTTTAACTACTGCTAACAGTCAACCATGAACACATTTCTCACATGGCACAATCCTTTATGGTATCCATGCAAAAATGTTATATATCTCAGTGAAAATGCCAAATGTTCAACTTACCCAGCTGAGTGTGTATATACCTCTTAGTCTTGTTGTGTCACATTTCTCTCTTCAACAAATTCAAAGGAAAAAAAACCTCAAAACCAAACTACATACAAAGAACTGCCTCATTGGTTTTTATTTATTTGTTTGTTTTGTTTTTCATCTTATTATTTTGAGTACAGGCTTCTAAATGTTTTCCGCTGAGCCTGTCAAGGTTTTGCTGCTACACTCTGCAACACTGCAGTTTAGTTTTCTCTGTTAGAGAAGGTCTGAGAAAACAGTTCTGAGACTGGGACAGTCGTTTCCAGAGTGTGTTATTTTGGTATTTCTGCAGAGGTTGCAGGTTGTGGAAACTTTGTTCAAGGCAAAATACCACATGAGAGGTTGTTAAATCTCATACTTTAAGTTTCTGTTTTTTCTTCTCTTAACTGTTTAATGCCTCCACACAACAAACGGGTCTTTGCTCTGTGTGTGTGCAATTCTGTCTTTGAGCTCGTGAGTATGTGTGTGGAGGTTCAAGGGTGTATGAAGTGGGTGACAAAGCTGTTACTAACGTAAGACCCCATTGTCTTACTGAACTCTGTTCTCTCTATTTCTAGTCTCCTCATAAAATAGGGGTTATAGAAACAGGCAGTGAGAAGACTTCATATTTGGTTCTGAGTGATCGTGAAATCACCTCAGCATTCCCTGAATTTCAGTGTTTTTAGACCTACTGATCAAGTGCAGTTTCTCAGGGTACATGGGTCCAAGCAGCTCGCCTACCATACAAATAGGGCTGTGTCAGAACCCTGCTATGAGACCCCACACACTCGTGATGTGACATTTATGGAAATTAAGGCCCCATGTCCACTTTGCCTGATGATGATTTTCCTGTGCCTGATATTATCCCAATTTCCCCACCTTATTTAGAATGTTAGTTTTTCTAATTTATTCCTAAACATTTCAAAAAATTTTGAAATGCATTATTAAGAATTTAGAGCCCAAACTTTTATGTGCTGAGGCAACCAACACAACTTAATTTAGTAGATTCAGAAACTTGGATTTGTTTCAGTAGTTTCTGACCTGTTGTGCCTCAGCTGGTTTTTAAAAGTATTTAGATATCTAAGTACCTAAATTCTTCAGAGGAGTAGTTTGGCACTGCTGTAACACTGCGCAAACCTAATGTGTGAATATCTGCAAAGTTTTGTGTGACAGAATGAGAATAATTTCAGGGATAGGATAGAAAAAGCAAATAGAAAAACTAACACAAAGTTCATGAAAATGCTCCCTTGTTCAGAAGCAAGGAAAATAAGCTAACCTGTGAGACTTAATCATGCACTGTGTAAATTTACATTCAGTAAAGTTATCTTGCATGCTTTGGTTAATATTTGAATAGGCAGATTTGCAAGTACTAATGCATGCAATATTTTTGTACCTGAGGTTATATGTTTTGCTTTTTAAAAATTGCTTTTTTACAAACTTTATGCCAGAGTTCATCTATGAGCACTCTTTAAAAATATATATGTATCTACTTCTTAGTTCAAAACAGTTTAATTTCACCCAGTTCTATAATTACTGAGATGATAGGGAAACTGAGGATAGGGAATGAATTTGAAATTATTTTACAAAGTTGAAATGATGTATATATATGTATAATAATTTCCAAAATAAGAGGGCTCAAAAATATGGCACACAAATTAAGCCTTCAGAATACCCTGTTTCTAGAATGCTCATTTCAAGATATAAAACAATATCCACAACTGCTATGACAACTAATTTAAAAGTACAGTCCGGGCTTGTAGAACTGATTCAGGAGCAAATGAGGGAAGGACTCAAAATGACCGTCTTGCTTTCCTATATCCCCAAGGAACTCACAAAGTTTATGGTAAAGAGTTTGAGAGCTCCTGTTATAAGTGGGACTAGATACAGTTGTGTTCAAGTCTTCCTTGTATGGCAAGAATATACCAGAAATAGTTATCTATACAAGTATTTAGACATGGGCCCAAGATTCAATATAATAGTTTTCTTTAAATAGAAGAGCAAGGAAAGTAGCATAAAACTCTAAAAGTGAGCGTGTCCTGGACATTCCTACCCAGCTATGTATCACTACTTTGCCATTCTAATAGGAATCCAGATTGGCTGAGAAAACACAGTTCACAGTTTTCTACTAAAGTTTTCTGGTGAACAAGACTTGTCTTTCTTTCAGGAGGCATGGGGAGTGATCTTCGGAAAAAGTAAAGGGAATGAAGAACTAAGATAATTAGCCTAGTAAGAGCATCTCTTACTCTTCGTCCTCTCCCTCCTCCTCCTCCTCCCTTTAGGAAGGTGCAGCAGCACACAGAGATAGCCTATTGACATAGTTGTAACATGTTTTGAAAACCAGCAATGATCACTGATTTTCTCTGCAATTTCATCCAATCTACTGGTGAAGTCAGTCCCCAAAAGTCACTCCTATGCAATTGAGTGGTCATTCTAGTAAAAGAGAACCATCACCTAGGAGCTCTTAGGTTGTCACTAATACATGAAGAAAGAAATTCAAGCCTTCCCAGAGTGCCTCAGAGAGAAATAAGGGCACCCTATCCTGTCAAATGGAAAGAGTAATTTAAATGACAATTTTATGTCGTGAAGATGAGATGCCAAAAATAGTTCTGCCTAAAAGAAAAGTGTATACACTTTTAAAAAATCCCAAACATGTTATGCTATATACAAAAAAGACTGTTCTAAAGTCTTACTACTTAATTTTTGGTGGTGCTTTATTTCTAGAAACTTTCCGTCACTTTTTAGTAATAGTGTTTACTTAATTTTATAAAAATTTATTGAAAAATGAAATTCTTTTCTTCTTGGGTGGTAATTCTGGATTTGCTGACAAGCAACAGCCTATAAAAATCTTAGTTCTAATGGACACTGGACATACTGGAGAAAATCTTACCAAATGTTCTGCAAATGGAAATGGAAAACTGTCTATTCTTCCCTAAAACAACTCCTTGGAGTTTGAAGTTACTTTGTCTTCCAATAGCAAAAAAGGAAAACTTGGACCACAAAACTCACCACCACTTAGCACAAATTAAACCAAACTATTCCACATTTTCAGGGTTTACATTCTGGCTGCAAATTCAGTTGCTGCTGAATGTATAGAATGGCATCACAAGCAAAGCACATGAAATGTTTGCTTTGAATGGTTCAGAGGCTCCTATTGGACTGCCCAATTGGGCTCCTATTGGACTGCCCAAGTCAACTGGCCAGTCAGTGAATGCACAGAGATTGGGGGGAGGAAGGAACAGGCAGGGAATGGATGCTGTTCTATCAGGTGTTTTCAAGCAGATAGCTACCATGGGTTGCAGGCTGGCCCTAAAAGTCCCTCCCAGATGGAGATTCTAGGATTCTAAAATCTAAAGAAGACCATTCTTGAAAATATCGTTGAGCCTTACTTTGCTGCAGAGACTGTAGAGACTCAGGCCAAGCTGGGGTTGCACTACTGCCCACTGGTGGATGCCTGCCTGCCTCTGCCTCCTGCTGCCCGGCTGGAGTATCACCTTGCCCAAGTGAGCTTTGACCATGAATATCAAACCTGGCACCCAGCCCAGGGCCCTCAATTCTTTGTCTTTATAAACTAGAATAGTGTAACATATATAAGCCTCAAGGATTTGTGGTTTTATGTTAACTTGAGGTCCTCTCACAACCCAGGAACTTCAAAGATAACTGGGGAGGATTTATACCTGCACTTAACATTCAATTTCTAAGCATAAGTGCACATTTGTCCCTCAGCAGAAGCTAATTCCACAATCAGTTTTGATCAAAATTCTTCTTCTTCTTTTTTTTGTAACTATAGTCATGAGTGGAATGAGCTATTACTAACCAAAGAGCATAAAGAAAAAGTTGGGATTAGACTACTTTGGGGAAGGTTCTGGAGGACCCTGGAGACAACAAGGTGAAGAAGAATGGGACAACTTACCAGAATTAGACATAGGTTAAATTGTATTTTGGTTAACACTTTGCAAACAATTTTTCAAATTTCTTTTAAAAAATCTATCTTTCAAAATAATGACCAAGCCCCAAACACATATACGAAACATTCTGCAGAACTAAGTGGAATGTAACCAATTAAATAAAACACCACTGCCAACAGAAAATTTCTGATACTTGCTAAGTGTTCAAAGAGCCAAAGGGGCATGCATCTTTCATGTTAATTCGCTGACATTCAGTGAGATTCAGTTAGAAAATGTTCTTCTATCACTTAGAATGCAAGGGATAAACAGTGCAGTATTATGAAACTAAGAAAACACATAATTTTTAGGAAAAATGTATTTATCACTCTTAAGAAAAACTATTTAAAATATTAACAGTTTAAAAGGAATATTGGTATGCAGGGCAATTAGAAAGCCAGTAAAAGATGACTTAAGCAAGTTAATATGAACTCAATAGAAATCACGATATCATCAAACTTTCTCCCTGCAGAGAATGCATGAAAGCGACAGTACTTTGTCTCTTACTTAAGTTCATACAGTCCCAGAAAGCATGTGGATGAAACATCTATGTTTGACATATTTATACCCTATGTCATCATATCTGCTTTAAGAAAAACACTCTTTTAAAACCCTACACTATGAAAAACTATTTTCAGGAATTTTTTATTTGGTCCGTTGATCTAACAAGGCTGAGTTCTCAAATCTTTCACCCCCAAGTTAAAAATTGGAGCAACAAAACAAAACTCCAGCAAGGCATAAATAAGATATTAAAGTGCATATATACAATCCCATAAAAGTTTTGATTGGGAACAGCAAAAATTTCTAGTGCAAAAACTGCTTTTGCCAGCAAAGCTCTCTCTCTGGAATCAAAGGGCTACAGTAAAAGTTAAAATTGGAACAGGTTTAAGCAATGCCTGTCTTTAGTCAAGAGTTAATATATGTGCATGCACCAATGGCCCAAACTATGTTCAGTCTTGCAAAAAGGGACATTTCAGAAACAGTCAAAATTTCCTGATCTGAGGCAGTGCTTTCTCCTATGAGCAAGTGTCCCATGAGCAAGTTCCTCAGATGTATCATCGGCTGCAAGTAGGGACAAAAACCCAAAGAACATGTTTTGCAATATGCTTGCTATTTGTGAAAAGAGTATTCACACACAGTCACTTTATTTTAGTTTGAGTCTCTCAATTCTTCTTTTGAGCCCAACCTTCACTCTGTCTACAACATTTTGTGCTTTTGGATCTGAACAGAGACTGGGCATTGTCTGTAGAAATTAATTTCCTTGGGTTATATGACCATGTCCTTTTGAATATCTGATTTATCCTTTTCGAATTTCATAATAAAATAGTTTTTCATTTCTCAGTACAATTAAACAGATGAGGGATTATTATTTATTTTTTTTCTTTTCCTTCAAGGATCCAAATTGAAAGCTCTTAGGAGAACATCCAGGTCACCGAGATTAGCCGCCTGGAACAGTTCCGGTTGGTCCATCAGAGACAGTGCAATTCTGAGGGCAGCCCAGATATTCCCAGAGATGGCGGGATGAGGGACTTGCTGTTGATTCCTGCTCTTTCTTTGCAAACTGAGGGCAGTGAGAAAATTGCTGACCGCTTCTCTAAGAGGGTAAAAAAAAAAAAAAAACAGATATTTTAAAATGCAACACATGTCAGAGTTAGCAAACTTAAAAAAAACCAGTTTGAGTTATTTTAGTCTAAAATCCTAAATCACCTCTCTCTGGTGTTCTGGATAATCAGATGAACAACTTTCTGAATCTCTCATTATCTTTAGTGAATGATATTTGTTAAATATAGTGAAATTGGAAAGAAAAAAGAAAAGCAAATTTTATTTTAGGAATGTCATGTGAGAGAGGAAGAATGATAGCAAAATGATTGCTAACTCATTAATGCGTTTGCTCTTCCCCCACTCCAGGAATGATCTGAAGACTTGATCCACTTGTAGATATGATTTCTATAACTAGAGTTTAAGAGGAAGAATATGGCCCTACTTAGAAACGAAGTAGTCTAATTTTTCCTATTAGTGATAGAAATATGGAACACAATTAGGATGGAGTTAAATTTATTATCAGAACATCTGGGCTTGAATCCCAGATACTTAGCCTTAGGCAAATTTCTTACCTTCTCCAAGGTTCAGTTTCCTTGAGTATGTAATAGGGATAAGAGAAGACATTTTAAAACTTTGTGAGGTGCAGTTGAATCAATTCATGTGAAAGCTCATCAATAGTTCTCAAAATGTGCACTCTGGGAAACCTTTGGGATTGGTGAGGTCAAAATCATTTTTATAATGAAACTGAGATGTTATTTGATCTTTTCATGTTCATTTTTTTCACATGCATACAGTGGAATTTTCCAGACTTCATGATGTGCAATATCCCAATAGATCAAATGCAGAGGCAGATATGACAGTTTAGTAAGCAAGATATTAAAGAAATTTGTGAAAATGTAAAACAATGCCACTCTTCTCATTAAACATTTTTTGTTGTTTTGGAAAATAATTATTTTTTGTAAAATATATATGTTAACATGTAGCGAGTTTTATTATTTTTAAATGAATCTTTTAAAATGTTATCAGTTTAATTTCTAATATGATAAATATTGATCCATATAACCCACACAAACAAAAGTCCTTTGGAGTTCTTAATAATCATTGAAAGTATAAAAGGATCCTGAGAGCACAAAGTTTGAGAATGGCTGAGTTATATCTATGCAGAAGCTTTCTAGCTCCTCTTGTCCACCAGTCCACAATCATGCTCAGGTGCCAGGTGTGCTTGCTGGGTCTCTTCAATATCCCCATGTCACCCCAACCTTGTATCATGTATCTGACAAAACGTTCCTTGCTAAGAACAATCATGCCACTTTCATTTGTACCTGCCTTACTCTTCTCAAGAACTTTTCACACACTTGATCTCTTTTAATCCTGTGAGGTAGTTATTAAGCATCTGGCAAGAAACCTTGAAAGTGAGGCTAGATTTCTAATTCCAATGCACATAATCTAGGCATTTGCTCATCTATAGTGTTAGAGCTGCCTGAAGATAAAAGCAACTGGGAAATGGTCATGCTGTATGTAGCAACCTGGGTAATAGAGGGGAGTGGGTGTTCTCATCACCCTTCCTCTGGGTTTCTTGTAATCAAGCAAGAAAAGAGGCTTTATAAATGGATGGATATAGGGAATCTGCTTCAGGGGCTCTTTCTGTCCCCTCTTCACAGGTGGGCGGCTCTATTGATAATGTCTCCCAGTTTCTTCTCATAATTCTAGAACTGCAAGAACTCTGGGGAAAGGAAGATCTCAAAATGCCCTCATTCTGGCTGCTCCGGCCTTCAAGTGTGTGGCAATAATTTCAGAGGGATTTTGAGAGTAACAAAATAGTCTAATTTATTAACCTAACCAACCACTCCAGTGTTTTTTTTTTCATAAAAATAGTCTAAACCTGTTCCTCAACTTGTGAATTCAGAGTCCTTTTGGGGGACTCAGAAGACTGTACATGTGTATGTGTGAAGAGTTTTCACATGTACATGTATATGTGTACTACTGTTTTCAAATGTTTCACACCTATATGTATGAATAACTTTAAGTCATTGGTGTGTATTGTAATGATTAATAAAAAGCTTATTCATTTAAAAGCATTACTCACTTTACAGTAGTTTTCCCTCATTATACTAATAGTAAAAATATTACTATTAAAGGGAATGAAATTTTTTTCATTAAAAGAGGTCTTCATTTGTGAAAAGGTTAAGACTCATTGGTCTAAGTTCTACTCTGGGACTCATATTGACAAAGGTGTAACATTTTAAGCTACACCCAAGTTTCACACCAACAATTTCTTCTCTTTATTTCAATTGCTAGGGTACGGCTTGCCTTTGACTCTTTATAGAAAATGTGAGATGACAAAAGCAATTGCTGTAGCTACATACACAGATACCTGCGGTTCTTGAGGAAGAGGTCCCAAGACTTCAGTGAATACAGAAGTTATTTGTAACTTTCTTGTGAGCCATATCTCTATCGAGCATTGTTATTTCCTAAGCATACACTAACACCTCAAGTTATACTTCTTTTCAGAAATCATTTAAGGTTTATGTCTCACTTGATGGTCTTTTTTTCTGAGGGAAAAAATGTTTATCACTTTTCAGATTTCCCACATCGAGCGTGACGATAAAATACCCACAAAGCTTGGTCAAGATGTTTCAAAGTAGCTGGTTCAGTAGAATTGCCCGATTTAGCAAATGAAAACACAGGGTGCACAGTTTCATTTAAATTTCAGATAAACAATGAATAATTTTGAGTACAGTCATCCCTTGGTATCCACGGGGGATTTGTTCCAGGAACCCCCGAGGATACCAACAAAATCTGCAGATGCTCAAGTCCCTTATATAAAATGGCATAGTATTTGCATGTAACCTATGCACATCCTCCTGTGTTCTTTAAATCATCTCTCTAGATCACTTATAATACCTAATATAATTGTTATACTGCATTGTTTTTTTAAAAATCTCTATTATTTTTATTATTGCATTTTTTTTTGTTTTTTCCCAAATAGTTTTAATTCATGGTTGGTTGAATCCACTGATGTGGAGCCCATGGATATGGGGGGCCAACTGTACAAGTATACCTCATGCAAGTATTTAGTAAAATACTTATACTAAAAAACGTATTTGTTGTTTATCTGAAATCTAGATTTAACTGGGCACTTTGCATTTTATCTGGTAACCCTAAAATTGACTTGCTCCAGTACAGCAGACTTTCTGCTTGAAGATTTAAAATTCACACCTCAGTAGAATCGCCCAGTTTTACCTGCCATGGACCTTCATGGCCTCCTGCAAATAGCTGCCCTGCTGAATTTCCTATCTGTGAATTCCTAGAATGTATTTTATGGGCCCGTCAAGTATTTTTTTCTAAACTAAATATTTACTATTAAGAAAAACTCTTCCACCAGTTGTATAAAAGCCTGCTTTAATTGATATGTCTACATGTATATATGTATTTATTTACATCTCCCTTGTTCCAAAAAAAGAACCCGAGTTGTCTCATAAAATGCATATATACAACATATCTAGAAAAAAAGTGAATAATAGAGGTAAATAGAAAACCTAGTCAGGAAAATCAGATGAAGCTAGTATACAAAATGGGAGATGGGAGGAAGATGGTGGACTAGAAGCAGCCCTGGGCACGCTGCTCCCAAGGAAAGGATCATAAGTTGCAGGCAGATGCCTACCTAGGGATAGCTCGTCTCACACATAAGCCAGGGCTTATGTATGGGGAGGTGGCCTAGAGTCAACCCTGAGCTTTTTACATAGCTGATATAAAGAGGGCCTCTGCAGTGGCACTTTCCACAGTGTCTATAAAATAAAACAAGCCAGTTGATCAAGAGTAACTTAGCTATTTCTGGTTCTGACCTCAGAAAAATCCTCTTAGAGGACACAGTGTAACCTGGTGACTAATGTTCTTTGTAAGATTTTTTTTTTCTTTTGGTATAAATGCAGCAACTATTTTCTAAGGCCTCAGTATTTGCCTATGGCAAAATGCACAAATGCAGTTCAGAAACAGTAATTCTTCAGATGTCAAAAAAAAAAATACAGCCTAGTTATATAGCTCTCTGATGACTTACTAAGTAAATAACAGGAATAAGGATACTGATGGCAATAATCATCATCATAATAAAACCTCCTAGGTTTTGAGCATCTGCTCTATTCGAGGCAATTACATTTAACCTGCACAATAATTCTGCAAGATAGTTATTATTATCTCTTTTTTAAAAATTTTATTTATTTTTTTAATGCTAGTCAAGTGAAGCAGTGGGAGTGGAGAAGGAACAAAGAAATCTGTAACTGGTTGTGATTAATTGTAAACACATTTAGTTCTTTATTTCAATTATGAAAAGGAATACTTGTTTATTTAGAAAACGATAAAATGGAAAAAGAAATGAGAGCAAAGATCACCCATGTTTTTATTACCCAAAGGTCATTTAAGGTCCCTGGTAATGGGGAAGAGATGGGGAGGACATAGATTGGAACAATAGTGATGATGAATGATTCAAGGATGGGAAAGGCAGTTCAAACTAAAAACCCATTTTTTTTTTTTCTTTTTCCCTAATAACTCTATTGGTATATTAGGTTCTAGAAAACCTGGATGCTTGGTTTTGCTTTGCTAAACACTGGTTCTAGGAGTCTTTTTGCTGGGTCCCCTTGCCCATGCCCCGAGATTCTTTTATTCCTTAAGTGGAAAATGGAAGATGGGACCGACCATGTTTGTCAGGGAGGTGCCCTGGGGTGTTAAAGACCCAGAGCACTAGTCCTAACCCAGGCTGACTGAATGGAAATCGTGGGGGGTGAGTGCGAACGGGGAGGGGAATCTACATCCCCCGAGATGCCTAGATGATCGCTGCCCTCTGACCTCCTGCTGAAACAGGCCTCAGCGTCTGAAGGTGCCACATTCGCCCACTTCCGGGAGGAGGAAGAGGAAGACTCCTACAAAGGGAGGTGTTTTTCTTTGGAAAGCACCCCTGGGGTTATTCGACTTCAGTGCTGGGCGTGGCTTTCGTTCTGGGCCTGTTGCCTACTTACCTGTAGGCGCCCAGGTTGATGCAGCTTATCCCCAGATTGTATCTGGACCGGATGAAGCCGGGCTGAATCTCCAGCGCCCGCGTGTAGGCCTCCACGGCTTCCTCGCTGCGGTCTCCGTTCGCCAGGGTCGCCCCCAGACGGTTCCATAACGAATAGTCCTGAAGACAAAATCAGAGCTCTCTAAACCAGTACAAGCCACAGTGACAGAGCATTCCCACATTCCGCTGCAGAGGAAGGAAGGTGGCTAAAAATATTTCCAGTGCTCACGGAAAGGGACACTGGCGAGGTGAATTACTCAAAAAGTCTTTATGGACAACTTAGTGAAATGACTTTCATTTATCAAAGAACAGCTACCCTTTGATGCCATCATGTAATTAGTGTTTCTATTTTAGGTATTTCAGTATTAATAGCCACAGTAGCACATCATTAGTACCGATCACTTTAAACTTTGGAGGCAGGGAAATAAAGTGTAGAAGAAACAGAGAAAACTTATTTGTTACAGAGAACCTTAGGGTTTCTTGCTGCACTGTGCTGTCTTACCTCTGGCCGAACAGTTAAGGCAGCGTTAAATGCATCTATTGCTCTATTAAATTCTCCACTCAGGTGGAACAGTACGCCCAGACCTGTCTGTAGGTCTGGGTCAATCACATCTCCATTTTGGTGGGCAGCTTCCAGATATAATTCCTTCACTCCTTCCAGAATAGAGCTACAATGGCAAAAATTAGGTTTGTAATGCAAACAGTCTGAACATGAATGATTTCCTGTTAAATCTCTTGACTCCATTTCAAGAAGTCTCTCTTCCTAACAGACCAGAAAATTTTGCTCATAGAATCTTAGCTTAATGAGAGGACTGTTAACACTGAATGTTAAAAAATATGGCTGATTTTCGTGAAATACTTTGTAGTACCCAGATGCAGGCTGTGCTAAGCAAGGAATCACAGGAGAGTTATGTTGGCCCTGTGAGTGTCAGTGGGGAAAACCCCACAGCTGAGTTTCCCAAGGCTTCGGTGAGAAAGGATTTCATGTCAGGATTTATTGCTGACGGAAAACAAAATTTCTAGAAGACAGCACTGCCATTTTTCCCCATTCCTAACTCGCAAGCTTTATAAAACTTGGAGCATCTGTGCTCATTATACTTTAGGTAAATATATGTCCAAAGCATTTGGCTTTAAAATGTGGTACTCAGATAAAATGTGAGCGCCCATAATGTAGATCATATGTCAAAAGGTTGGCCCTGAGCTCAGCATTAATCTTTCAAATCAGTGCTGCAGAATGCTATCCTACAAACCATTCTGGAGTGAGTGGTGGGTATCTGAGGCTCACTCATCACCCTTAAGGTGATTAATTGTGTACATGGGCGTTTGCTGCTGGCTGTAACATGATGAGAAGGATACCTATCAACTGGGGACTTAGACATCCGCCGGGTGAGGCCTGGAGATCCCTTCTTGCTCTTCACAAGGTATTTGTACTTTGGATTTTGCTTAATCCAATTCTTCAGAGCTTCACAGGCATCCTGCTGATGGCCAGTGTTAGTGTAACTCACAGCCAAAGCCATCAAAGCTTTCAAGTTGTTGGGTTGTAATTCTAAGCACCTGAAAGAAGGGGAGGAAAGCCAATTTCAGATGATTTTGGGAGCCAGAGTCTAATAGCTCTTCAGAAAATTTGAGGTTTTTATTAATATGTTGCACAAGCATCTTTAAGTTTACTTCAAGTCCCTAGAAAATACCGTATTTATCTACATGACAATTGGGACCTATGCATATTTTTAAGAAAGTTAAAACTTATCCTGATGACTGCCAGATTTGGTAATTTTAATAAATGGTTTTAAAACTATAAGAAGTGTGGCTTATCCTGCACATAATTTATTAGTAGTTAATCTAATGAGAGGTAGGGATATCATTATTTTAAGGCTACTCTCTTACTGATATATTAATATTATATGTACCCTATCCCCAAAGAAAACTGACTTGAAATTGGACATCTGGAGATGAGAGATCCTATAGTGTTTTGCAAAGGAGAGGGAAATTCCTGTATTTCCAGATTATTGATGTGAGTTTACAGGAGACACAAGTTATAGCTACTCTGTTGCATTCTATTTCACTGGCCTCTAGCAAGGCCTTTTTAAACTTTGAAGTGTATGTGAATCATTTGGGAATCTTGTAAAATCTGCAGTCTGGTACAGTAGGCCTGGGGGGTGGGGAGTTGTGTACTTGGGTCTGACAAGCTCCCTGGTGAAGATATAGTGCCTGGATAAGACTTTGAGTAGCAAGCCCTAGACAGTGTCTAATACCTTTCCTCGGGCTCCTAATCTCCCAGGAATTTATCAGCACCAGGCAGAGAAGTTCTTAACTCTGGATGTACATTATAAATACCTGGAGGAGTTTTAAAAACCATAATGTTTAGTCTCCATCCCTGACCATGTAGTCATAATCTCTGGGGTATGTGTGGGCATTTTTAAAATAATGATTCTATTGTGCATGTGTGTACAGAATTAAGAACCACTGACACAGAGTTCCAGATCTGGAGGTAGGAGATGAGGATTTGAGTTCTGTCTCTTACATGCTATCTGTGTGAACTTGACCTTCTCTGATCCCCAATTCTTTCATCTATAAGCACCATTAAATCATCCAATGCCAACAGAATTTTGAAATCCAAGATTCCAAGATTGCAAAACCCTATATTTCTAAGGTCTAGAGTTCTTACATTCTAAGATTCTGAAAATCTGGAATTTATACACTTATATCACAGATTTTATATATAGATATACACATATACATATATAATATTAATATATGGAATATATGTGTATATAAATATATTCTTTTCCTGTACCAATATATTAAACATATTTATAATAAAGGACAGGGAAAGTAGAAGTATATTTGGTAGAGGTTATTTTTCCAGATTTAAACAGGAGTTCTAATCAAGTAAGTGTGATGTAACCCCCACCCATTTCCACCCTTCACCCTCAAAGTAGTCTAGACCTTTAGTCAGTATTTTTCCTGAAGAAAACTTTCAGATGCTGCAGAAGGCTAGAGAGTTAAAAGGAACTATTTATTCAATGAGTCTACTTCATGACTGCTTTTAATAAAGACTTTCTTTGGTGCCAGTAAATGTTAAGTGATTTGTAGATAGCAAAACATTGTGATTTAGGGACAGTATTTCGTTATAAGTTCTTGTTTTCTAGAGCTAAGTGTGAATGATATGTAGTATCTTAACACTTATCCTGGCCAAATTCTTTGCACTTCAATAAAAATCAAAAGACTTCAATAAAAATCAAAAGACAAATCGGAAACACAGGAAGTCCATTAACACTAGGCCCACGACTTGCACTTAGTTTCATCTACCTCTGGAGGGCGACAATAGCTGCTTGTTCATTTTCATTCTCTGCCTGGGTTATCCCGAGGAACTGCCATGCCTATAGGAAAAACAACTAGTGTTAATATTGCAGAGTGAAGCAGAATTACTCATGTGTTTTACTTGGTTTACCTGTGATGGATCCCTTATGCACAGTGACCAGTCTCAGATGTGAGGGCTATGAAAAAGGGAAAAATATCACATGCATTTCTTCATTCAGACTCTCTTGTGGCATCTGGGTCAAGATCCTCTGTCATTATTTCCAAATTCTTTCAGTATTTATCCTTTCCTAGAACCTAGTGCTATGGAAACCTCTGAATTTCTGAGATTTCATGATATGGAGTATCTCAAAACCAAAAGACAAATAGATAAAACTATACAATTGTGAGGAAAAGGGGCAGAAAAATAATCTAAAAAGCGTAGCTAAATAGTCTAAAGTTTGTAATAAGCAATCTCAAGATGTACAACATGAGATTAGCTGGTATAAATAAAAGTCCAACAGAAGAGTTCACAGGAAATTTAGGAACTAGGTAAAACAAAATGAAATAAAACATAACCTCCTATAATTTGTTTACCCCTCTAATGTAATCACTGTTAAAATGTATAAAACACAATCATAACATATATATATATAATTTTTAAATCTGTTATGCTTTTTATTGTATCTCAAGCACTTTTTTCATGTTTTTACAAATTTTTAATTTAAATTTTGTTGAATGGACAGCCCATTATTTATCCAACCAATTCTCTTATTGCTCTGAACTTGTTTGTAATCCTTTGCTATTGTAAAGGATATGAAGAGTATCTTCAGGCAGATAATTTTTTTCAAATTGAGAATTAAAATTTTAATATAACAAATTTCTATCTATGTACTTATAAGAACAGTAATTCTCAAACCATTATAAGAATAATACACATGAACAAAATCTCTCATTACACGCATTGTCTTCAAATTTGCTGGGGGTGGGGTTGTATCAGGGTCTTAGGTATTTAAAAATGTTTGGGAAGTGTCTAAGTTAGACTAGTGTCTAACTTTGGGAAGTGTCTAATTAATGCTATAGACATTTTAAAATAAAACTCCAAGAAAGCACATAAAGTCATCCTAAAGTGCCATTAAAATTGTATTAGCTTTTCCCTTCATGGGTTATTATCACATATGCTCTCTAAACTTATAAAAATACTGATTATTTTCCCCCAGAATATCATTAGTCTTTTTAATATTTCAAATGTACATAGAGCAGCTTCTATTTTGATTTCACCTTCCATATATCTTAGAATGCTTCTTAAGGAAAAATTTATGAGATAGTGTTTCTCTAGGAACTTCTGCCTAGCCTTTGGCGATAGTGTCATTTTCACTGTTTACAGTGTTATTGTCTTGGTCTTGAATTCTCCATAGATTCAGAAGCCCTGGGTCCTTGCCTGGGATCCATCAGTTATGAACAGCCCCAATTTTCTCCTTTATGAGCCTGAGACTTGGGATAATAATGTATATATATATATATATTTAACCTCCCAGGGTGGTTACCTCAAATAATATAATATACATGAAAACACCTTGTAAAATACATAGCATTTACAAATGTAAAATGACATTAATATTATTTTGTGGAGGGCGGCCTGTAGCTTTCTATTAATGTAATGATTTTCTCTTCTATAATGATTCATATATATATTTTTTTAACAATTTCAGCTCTCAGTTCAGTCCCATTTCACTGTAAACCTTTTAACCAACAGGTATTAGGAGCTTTAACTAGTGATCAGTTTTCTCCGTCTACCCATACAACCAATAATAATGATGAAGGCTAAATATTGAAATGCCAGGAACTGAGTTGAACATTTTATTTGTGTGAACTAATTTAATCTTCACTATGCCCAATGAGATAGTTACTACTATGATTTCCATTTTATAGATCAAGAAACTGAAACTTGGGAGGGCTTAAATGACTTGTCCCAGGTCCTCTGGCTAACAGGTAGAGCAGGAATTTGAACCTATGCAGTTAGGATAGCAGAGCCTAGAACCTTAACCACTATTTTATATTGTATTCACAGTACAATGTATACCTGTCCCTAAAATTTCTGCAAATTCCTCCGGGAATATTCCTTATAAAATGATTCCTGAAAATTACTCACAAACTAAAAGAGAAGCCTTTATACTGCCACTAACTTATTGCAGGCCTTCACAAGTTTAGAAATTTAGTGGACTAAGATAGAACTGCAGAAGCTCTTTGGTGGTCTACCAGCCTCTGGCTCCAATCATTCTTCCTGTCTCAGAGAAAGGGGATTTTCTAACATGCAATCTGCTGAAATGCCTCTCCTGAGTAGAGTCCCCTCATGGTTTCCCATGGCTTTTAGATGAAACTCAAACTCTTGCCTATCTCTTCTTGCCCCCTCACCCCCTGCCACCATTCTGTCCTCCCCTCTTCCACCCGACAAGATGTTTAATGCCCCTCTGCCTACCCATGTCCCATTCCCTCTTAACAATAGCTCAACTCCCCTGTGGGCTTTAATTCTCCCTCCTTCAAAACTCAGCTTTGGATTCTCTTGTGCAGGAAAGCTGGCTTAGGAGTCCTGCTCTCTGCTCTCCTGGCATCCTGTGCATATGCTGACATTGCATTGATTGCACTGCATCGATTTATTCGCTTGTCTCCCCAGATAGATCACAAACATGTCTCTTTAGCTGTTCCATTTTTCCAGCTTTTCAATATTTCAAGCCAGGACCTGGTGTAATTTTGGGGACACAATATGTGCTCAACAAATGTTGAGTGAGTAAAACAAGGGTGATATATGGTGTGACTCAAGGCCCAGACACAACTATACATTGTCCCCTGAAAAATACTGGCGAGCTTCCAGGTTGGTAATTTCGATTTTTCATTTCCTGTCCCCAACCGTTATTTTTGGGTACTATAGATACTGCAGATTAGAAATCTGGCTAGATAACATGTACCTATTTGCAACTTTCAAACAAATAGACTAAGCCAGGTTAACTCCTTTGGAAACCATTACTTGATGAGAAAAACCACCCAGCAGAGCTTTGTGCCATCCTCTGTCCCTCATTAGCACATGCAGCCACTTTCTGAGTCTGGCAGAATGAAGGGAGAGTGACACCTCTGCATCTCCAGGGTCCTGAAGAATTGCTGCCTCCATGAACAGGATGGTGACTGGCAGGTCCCCTTCCTTCAGCCTTTTTAAGCCTTCTTCAAATGCTCCCGGCCAGTCCTTGAAGGGGTTTTCAGTGTGAAAGTAATATCCCTACAACACAGAGAAGGGCCAATATAGGATTCATTGATTTATCTCTTCATTCTTAAATTCAGTTAGTTATCTTTAAATTTTAATTTATTTTAATTATTTGATTTATTCAATTTAAAATAAATTTGAATTTCTGTTTTTCCTTATTATGAATATACTACATTTACATTATATGTATTTTAGATAATACTGAATAATATAAAAAGAAACAGAAAGTTATCCAAAATACTGCAACCTAAATATGACTACTGCTAATATTTTGAGTTTGTTTTTCTTCTGATTTTTTTTTGTTTTCTGTTTCAACCATTGACTCTCAAGATTTATAAAATACTGACTCTTTAGACATATTTTTGCTAAGTACTATCAACAACCCTCCTGAAATGTTAATACCACATACTGTATATCTGTTTATGTACTATGGCTCCTTGGAGAACTACAAACCATTGTAATGTCTAAGATTTTTTTTTCCCCCAACCCCAAACCAGTTTTTGTCCCATTGGGGACTATATTGCTCCTGTTGAGAATGTATGTTTTAAAGTTACAGGGTTTTATTATTACTGCAAAAATTTAAACAATACAGAATGTACAAATAGTTGTCTAGTATCTTTCTTTGAGTATATAAATTAAGAAATAGGCTTATACTGTGTATATATATATAGTTTTATAACTATATATAGGCCCAACTTAATTTAATATTATAATTATTTCTGTGTTATTAAAATTATTTATATGGATATACTAAATTTATTTACCCAATCTCCTATGGATGGACATTCATGTTATTTTAAAATTTTTATCATAAATTAAGCCATAGTGAAAGCTTCATGCTCAAATCTTTGTCTGCATTTGCTTATTACCCAAGGATAGACTCCTAGAGGATTTATTAGGTTAAAGGCCATGAAATCTTTTCAAACACTTGATACATATAACTGAATTGTTTCTGAGAAAGTTCGTCCCAATTAAATTCTTACCTAAAGTATCTGAGAGATATTATTTGTTTAAATTTGATAGATATAAATGAGATAGCCCATTGATGATATTACAAAGGTTTAAAAATTGAACACCTTCATTCTCTGTAGGTGCTTAGAAAGATACGCCTCCCCCCCCACTGTCAAAAGCCACAGGGGACACGACTGACCAGCTTTTGTGCGTGGGGAGGTGTGTGTGTCATTCAGATGTGGATTCCTGGGAATGAGGGGCTGAGGGGCCCCACCTGGCTGCAAGGGCATAGGTCATCTGCATCAGTGCTCTCTCTTTTTACTTAGCTTTGATTTTTTTGTGGAAAAGAAAATTATTTTTAATGAGATGGTTGTTTTGATTTTATGAGACTGCCTGGCCTACTGAGGGACAGAGACTATGGGGAGGAGGAGACATTTTAATGACTACGTAGATTGCAAATCCCCTCATATCAGAGACTATTCATCATCATCATCATCTCCCCAGTGCCTGGTGTAAGAGTAGACACTCACTATATATTTCTTGGATTAACAAAATATCACGGAAATTATCTAGAACTGAATATTATTGAGACTTTCTCCACTACAAAACCCATAATATATACTTATATGTTTTTTTCTATGTAAAAAAATGCCACATTTTTATCTTTCAAGTCATTTATATTTATTCCTCAGTGTTTTTTCCCTTCCCCCCTCAAATGTTTTTAAAAACATAAATCCTAGAGCAATTTGGACTTCATGGGTAATTCGGCTGGTTGTTCACTGCACTTGTACATTTGTGGCTCCTATCAGGGAGTAGCTCCGAGGAATTCCCCTGGGACTTCACCTGGTTGTGTGGGCAGTATCTTTCCCACTGAATTTCTTTGCTTACTATATAATGACACCCTGTGAAATGTAGCCCTAAACCCCTGCTGCCTTCTCTTGCCATTAAAGTCACTTCTGTGTTAGCACATCAGCAGGACTCATGTGACCGGCTGCAAAGCACTGCGAGATGAGCCCAGTTCTTGTTCCAACCTACCCTCAATGTCAGTTAGTTCAGTGACCAGCCGGCAATCATGAGCAAGGTTCTGGTTGGCTGCCAAAGTGTCTGTCTGAGCACTTACAAAAATAAAAGCATTTCATTCCAGTTTGGCTGCCTTCACTATTGTCTCTATCTGTCAGAATTTCTTCTAGGTCAGATTGACATGAAATTGTCTTTTTAATTCTTGGATTTTGGACAACACAGTTGCCGACCAATCTATAAAATATGATTCAGAAAGGTTGAGAAAACCATTTAAGAACAGAATTGGTTACCTTCTCACTAGCTGAGATTGTAACTTGGTTCTGGGCTTCTTGGTTCTCAGATATCCAGTTTCTCCGGGCCATTTCTTCCCATTCTGCTTGCATCTTATCCCAGAACTCTGTGTCTGACTGGGAGACAGGAAAAATGAAGAGAGATTGATTTAAGAACGCATCATTCAGAGACAGTTTTGCTAGTAGACCAAAGTGAGTTCTGAGGAGGAACAAACTGTTCTAGCTGGCCACATCCAACGATACTCATGGTTGGAGAGCTTCTGGAGGGTGCTCAGCGGCCAAAGTGTTGACATGGATTAGTTGTGACTTTCTCCAGCAGGAAAATAACTACCACTTGAAGGACCAGAGTCATCTATATCAAATTCAGCAAAAAAGCCACTACTTGTACAGAGTTTCAAGTGTGGGCATTAGGCACACATTTTAGGAAGGGGGGCCTCTCTCAGAGTTGCTGTGAGCATCTCAGGAACTAGAAAAACAGCTTTGGGACTGGCTGGGCATTTCCTGGACAAGGGACAGTAACATTAGTTGATCCTATTCTGTGCCAAGTACTGTGCTAGGAGAAAACTTGAGCCTAGAGGGGTATGCTGTGGTCCCAAAGCTTGCATTCACAGGATCCCAATCCCATCTGGCTCCCAAACCCACGTTTAACAGCTTATGGCAAACCTGGCCTCCTGATGCTAAAGAATGAAGGCCCCTCGTGTGAACCTGAATGAATCCTCCTCAAGGTCCTTTCTACAGTAGGGTGATTTTTTTGAAAAATATCACTTTGTGGGTTTTTTCCCCTTAAAATTTCCCCATATGTCTTCTCTGAGGCTAAATCAGACCGTTTGCTCTTCTCTACTTCAGGGAAGGTGTGTGTCCTCGCCTGAAGCAGAATTGTTCTCTAAGAGCTGTCCTTGGCTGGCTTCTATTTTATTAGGCCTGAAGGGAGTACTTTAGATGTCCCAAGGGGAGGAGGAAGGAGCTAGTATCTTAAAAAATTTAAGAGAGACAGGGAATTTTCAAGGGTGGGGAAAGAGATGGAGAGTGGTTGGTTCTGGTTAGCAGGAAACTAGTACTCAGCTTTTAGGGTTTTCCCAGGCAAATTGTCTTGACCTCAGAGTGGATGACTGAGGGTGTGACTGGGGGGGCTGGCTCAAGCCTTGATCCACATGGCAGGGAAACAGAAACTGAATTTCAAGGAGCCACTTTGAGCCTGGGCGGCTGTTAGCCATCACCACAACAAACAACAGGGTGGTCTCTGCCCTTGTTTTCTGGCACTACCTAAGCCTTCCACATTTTATGCCCGAAACTAACTACCTGCCAGTTTGGTAAGACAGATGCTTGGAAACCACTTTATTTTCTTTAAAGACAACAAAATGGGTATTCCTGGAACATCCATATCTGCAACGAAGATTCATGCTCTTTACCTGCAAATCTCAATTTCTATGATTCTAAGTCCTGTATCCTGTTAACACAGGATGTAGAGGTTAAGTCCTTGAGGTTAACCTTCACCTTTTAATCCTCCTGGTCTATGAGGGTGGTGGCTGTCCTGAAGTGAGAACTCTTCAGAGCTGCTCTGAATGGCAATTATAACCTTATTTCTTTCAGATACGAATGTTAATGGAATAAGGGCCAGCTCAATGTGATCAATCCTTGGCTACTAAATAAATAGTAGGTCTTGCTCGCCTCCTTTATTATGTCCAGCATTCTGGTTCCCACTACAGAAATGAGTCCCTTAGACAGAGGCGTCCCTCAATGAAGGCTTAGAGCATCAGGCATCTCGACAGTCTGTGTCCAAGATGCTGGACGTATGTGAAATGGCCACTAGGCACCCTGGCTAACGTTAGGAATAACATTCAATATTTCCTTTTTAATGGCTTTTTCTAGTAGAATAGTACATTGTGCAGACAGAATGATCTCAACTATACAAAAGCAATGGCTAGACAAAAGACTAGGAGAACATATGCTGCCATGTTAATAGAAATGTGTCTTTGCACTAAGGGATGAGGGGGGATGTTTTCCCTGCTTCTTTACACTGTTTGCACTTTCTGAATTTTCTATGATGAGCATACTTTGCTTTCATAATTAAAAAAATGAGGTTAAAAAACAAAAAAGAAAAATACCTTTCCTTTTTTTAAAAAATAAAATACTATGAGACCTGAATATTATTAGATACTAGAGATTTGGAGAAAATTTGGGGAGGGGGACTCAATTTTTTAATAGCTTTTCAAAGATGCAGGTTTAACTTGGCTGCATTAGAAATGAAGAAAGGTCTGTCAAGTGAATTTTGTAGTGTTTACTGGCTTTCCCACATGCCCACTGGGTGATGTGAAAGGCCAATGACTGCACAAACTTTCTAAGGCAAATAAGTTCCTGTAGCAGGAGTCCTTGGAAGTGAAAGCATATTAGAAGTCTTCTGAATGAGAGAATGAGGAGGATTTCATAATGTGTACATCGGAGTTACAAAAGGATGTGTCACCTTTCCTGTGGTTTGAAATTAGAGCAGTAGATGCAAAAATAAGACTGCTGTGGAAAACAGACAGAACCTCATCTGAGGTGGGGCTGCCAGGCTCTCATTTAATGAGATACACCAGGACTTACTGTTACCACTTAAAATGAGTTACTGCTGACTAATTAAAGTGCACAGCACAGTTTTCATTTAATTACAGAAGACTACTTTTAGCATAATCAATTTTCATCCTGTCTCGGAATCCAGACTTCATTCACGTAGCTGCAATTAACGCTGCTTTTTCCCTCCTGTTTTAAATCAATTTTAGAGAAACCTGAAGCATATTTGAATTTCAAACATTTTAGACAAGACCAGAGGGATTTTATTTATTGATGATTTTCTTAGCTGTTCTGGGATTTTGGTAGATTGTGTTTTATACTCTACATGTAACAAGTTATCTGGTCATATCAGAGACAAATTATTATTTGTATTCCATTTCCATTTCTAAGAATAACTTTCTGATGGTAATAATAGTACATACTCATAAAAAACTTGGGGTATGCAGTGTGGTGGTGCAGAACAGTAGCTTTCTCTTCAGATGGACCTGGGTTCAAATTCTTGCTTTGTCATTGCCCTTCTGCAAGTCCCTTAATTTCTGTGAGCCTCATTTCCCTTATCTTTAAAATGAAGATTTAATAGTGGTTTTGGTTAGTTGTTATGACAACTATATGAGAAAGTGCATCTGTGGCATAAAGCATGTGATAGATGCTCAATAAATGTACATATTCTTACTAGTGTTTTTGTACCATTGAGAAAAATATAATGATTAAACAAAAATTACCCACAACCTCAAAGCTCAAATATACATACTGTGAGTATTTTGGTGTTTTAATCTTCTATAAATACACATTCTTCTGGACACCTTCCTGCTCTTTATTTAAATCTTTCTCTTCTACCTAATCATTCAAAAATAGGAGCAAGGCTAAGAAAATTATTGCAAAGCCTCTATAATGAAGTATTACGCAGCAATTAAAATGATGTTTATGAATAGCTTATGATAACATTGAATAGTCCTTGAGTTATAATGTTCCTTGATAAGTAGTGTCATTACAATGATAGAAAAACCACAACAGTAATGGGCTGGGGAAAAAGACTGTAGAGAAATGCACCAATAGCACTGCTTTTATGAGATGGGATTATGAGTAATTTATTTCATCACCTTTTCTTGTACTTTTTAGCATTTCCAAATTTTCTATTGTTAGTATGTGTTATTTTGGTGGAAAAGTAAGATTTGGTTAAGAAAGGCTTACTTCTTTTCAATTTCAATTCCTCTATCCTGTTTTCTTCAATGACCCTACACTAGAGCAGTTTGAATTGCCTCTGAATTCCTTCAACACTGACATACTGTGGCAGTAGTTTGGAAGAAGAGAAATGTGTGCTAGAAGCCACCGTTAACTCTGTGAACTTGAGTCAGTCATTTTTAATTCATCTGTACATTATATTTCCTCATTTGTAAAGTGAGAAGAATAGGTACATTAGATAGCAGCTTCGGCTTCTTCGTCTACACAAATTAACTGAGATGGGAATAAGGGGGAAGGAGGGTCTTAGTACAGAATCACATTTTTTTGAAGGGGGCTTCTCATCTCAAATAATTATATTTTAAAATATTATCCCAATAGTATATTTGACAATTTTTGCTTCCCTTTTTTGACTGTTAAACTGGAAAACAAAAATTTCCATAAGTGCCAGACTAAAATTAAATATTAATTAAATATAAAGAATATAAAAATAAGCAATTTATTTTAGAGCCAGGAAGTTTAAAGGGGTGGCAGCATATTATCAGTTTCAATCCACCAGTCCATATTAGTCATCTTCTAGTTAACATAGAAATATTCTGATTTTGTGATCCAATGTAATTGTTAGTCAGAAAGATCCTGGGTTGTGTTGTAGAAGAACTGATCAATGTGAAGTTATATGCCGGTTCTGCCTGTGAGGTGTTTAGCTTTCTTTGTGACTTTTCAGGTGCCCATTGATTAGCTGCCACTGGATCCAAATGTAAAAAAACCCAAACCAACTAACTCTGCAGATACAGAATAAAAGAAAGTGCCTCTTTTACATGGCAGGAAATGAAAGCCACTATGCAAGTTTGGATAAAGTATTTGGCACAACAAACAGTTTTTGTTGAGGTGAAATTATGTGCAGATTAGTGTGGGTCTTTGTTGCCCTACGGTCCAGTAGTCCAGGCTGATCAACAGTGCCTGAATGTCCCCATCCACTACATCTCTTGTTGACTAAGAGCTCAACACTAGCTGAGAATTCCATGTGGCTGACCAAAGAACATATTCAGCTTGGGCCGTAATCACAGATGTGCAGTGCTCTGATGGAGAATGGGATAGAATGTTGGTTGGTCAGAATTACTTTGAGTTCTGGGTGCAGTCCTGGGTGTCCCACAGTGTGAGGCTCATTGCCAAACTGGAGTCTATTCAGACAAGAATGACCTTGGGCAGGAATAACCCTGCTTATGAAGAATGGGTAAAGGAGCAATTCCTCTGCTAAAGGAAGTCAGGGGATGATGAGAGTTGAGTGAGCCACCCCAGGCTTGTTTTGCAGACAGCAGAACTAGGACAAATGAATAAGTGGCGGTTCCAGGGGGACAGATTTTTATCAAATGCAACACAAAACTGCC